CTGCAGTGACTGGGTGATGTCACACTACTAATCTTTGACTATTCCATTCTACAGTAGGTGTCCGCAGTGGTTGGGTGATGTCACACTACTAATCTTTGACTATTCCAATATGCAGTAGGTGTCCGCAGTGGCTGGATGATGTCACACTACTAATCTTTGACCATTCCATTATGCAGTAGGTGTGCGCAGTGGTTGGGTGATGTCACATTCCACCAATACACTAATTTACTGCAAATATAGTATAACTATTTAAACAAAATAATATTACAATTTGACAGTGTTAATTCCAAACTACTCACATAACTTCAGTCGAAAGACGTACTGAGCATTAAGTAAAAGGGATTATCTCCGTGTGAAGAGGTGCCCCATATGATTGTCAAATCGTCCATTTTCTCGTAAAACACTACATCGGTAGAAATGACACCTTCGGCAGTGGTAGTATACCTGTTTGGATGTGTAAACAATTTCGTTAAAATATAATACTTCTTTCAGTAATAGGCCATTCCAGTTTATATCTGCACCCCCCCCCCCCGTTGATGAGGTCGGATTTCCAGCACTGTGTGATGGGGAAAATACCCCGGAATTCCAACTGTATATGGAGAAACAGAATCTGGAAATCAGACAAGTATGTAAAAAAAATTCTGGAAATCCAGGTAGTTATGGCTACTAAATAAAATATGGCCTAGTGTTTCTCACCACATACCAGTTGATGAGGTTGGATTTCCAACACTGTATGACTAAAAAAAACTTGGAATTCTGACTGTATTGGGCCAGTATGAAATAGTTATTACTGAAATTAGATAATGATGGTGGGACGAATGAGCTCATCAACACCGTGAATCAGGATTAGTTTGGATTTCCATTATCAGATATAAAATTTTGAACTTGGTAAATTAGCATATGATGAGAGTTATATTTGGAAATCCTACTCTGTATGGTGGCACAATGGAACTCATCAACACCATAAGTAGGAACTATAGTTTTGGATTTCCATTACTGTATGGTGAATGGTGATTTGGAAATAAAACTTTGTATGACTTATACACCCATGGAAATTATACCCTGTATGAAGTAAACACACACACTCATCAACAGGAGGGTGCAGATATAAACTGGAATGGCCCAGTGGCTGATTTGTTTGAAGCAAAGCCTGACTGCTATATCGTATATAATTTGGAATCGTCGATCACTACTCATTATCAATGTCATGGAATCACGTGTTCACTTTTGTTTCCTGACAACTAAAACAATGGGAGTCATATACTATATATAAACACACATTGTGTAATGTAAAAGGTCTGAAGGAAGCTAGCGTTTGGGTAAACTACAGTCTCTGTGGATAAACATTGTGCCGCCGACTCTGAGATACGTAGCCATCCTAGCAAGCTAAGCGGTCTATAAATTTGATTTATCTACAACTCAAAATGTGATGTTTCACCTCTTTTATCATCTTATGACAGATATTTGAATATTGTCTTTTAATATTCGGTCAGAACGTGAAAAGGACTAAGCACGTGCGTACGTACATTACGACATGTATTTTAGTTTGTATAAGGTATACAAGCCTATACTTCGGTGGAATAGCCGTATCGATGTGGTGTTAATAATTTAGCAACAGTTTGTATAAGGTACACAAGCCTAAACTTCGGTGGAATAGCCGTATCGATGTGGTGTTAATAATTTAGCAACAGTTTGTATGAGGTATACAAGCCTAAACTTCGGTGGAATAGCCGTATCGATGTGGTGTTAATAATTTAGCAACAGTTTCTATAAGGTATACAAGCCTATACTTCGGTGGAATAGCCGTATCGATGTGGTGTTAATAATTTAGCAACAGTTTGTATAAGGTACACAAGCCTAAACTTCGGTGGAATAGCCGTATCGATGTGGTGTTAATAATTTAGCAACAGTTTGTATAAGGTATACAAGCCTATACTTCGGTGGAATAGCCGTATCGATGTGGTGTTAATAATTTAGCAACAGTTTGTATAAGGTACACAAGCCTAAACTTCAGTGGAATAGCCGTATCGACGTGGTGTTAATAATTTAGCACAGTTTGTATAAGGTATACAAGCCTAAACTTCGGTGGAATAGCCATATCGATGTGGTGTTAATAATTTAGCCACAGTTTGTATAAGGTATACTAGCCTAAACTTCGGTGAAATAGCCGTATCGATATGGTGTTAATAATTTAGCAACAGTTTGTATAAGGTATACAAGCCTAAACTTCGGTGGAATAGCCGTATCGACGTGGTGTTAATAATTTAGCAACAGTTTGTATAAGGTATACAAGACTAAACTTCGGTGGAATAGCCATATCGATGTGGTGTTAATAATTTAGCCACAGTTTGTATAATGTATACAAGCCTAAACTTCGGTGGAATAGCCGTATCGACGTGGTGTTAATAATTTAGCAACAGTTTGTATAATGTATACAAGCCTAAACTTCGGTGGAAAAGCCATATCGATGTGGTGTTAATAATTTAGCAACAGTTTGTATGAGGTACACAAGCCTAAACTTCGGTGGAATAGCCATATCGATGTGGTGTTAATAATTTAGCAACAGTTTGTATAAGGTATACTAGCCTAAACTTCGGTGGAATAGCCGTATCGATATGGTGTTAATAATTTAGCAACAGTTTGTATAAGGTATACAAGCCTAAACTTCGGTGGAATAGCCATATCGATGTGGTGTTAATAATTTAGCCACAGTTTGTATAAGGTATACAAGCCTAAACTTCGGTGGAATAGCCATATCGATGTGGTGTTAATAATTTAGCCACAGTTTGTATAAGGTATACAAGCCTAAACTTCGGTGGAATAGCCGTATCGATGTGGTGTTAATAATTTAGCAACAGTTTGTATAAGGTATACAAGCCTAAACTTCGGTGGA